CCCCAAAACCCCAAAACCCCAAAACCCCAAAACCCCAGAAAAACAGCTTAAGTTGGAAATTATCAATTATACAATAGGTTCAAACGACATCTCTTCGAGGGATTCTTCTTCAACCTCTTTGCCGTTCTCCATCTCGAGCTGGGCATAGTTACTAATCAGCTGAGCTCAGTTCTCCTCACATTCATCGAATAGGTCTCTTTCTGCACCGAATTTCTCATAATTTGCCAGGTAAGCTTTGTGTTTATACAGCTTTTGGAATTTGCTCAGGAGCGCTTTAAACACACCTCTAATGCCTGTAGAATTTCATAGAGACAGAATGGAATAGTCCTGGTTGATTGGAGGCTTCTTGCATATACCTACCTTGAACCCTTCCTTGTTCCAATAGATCATATTGATCTTGTCCTGGAGAGTCTCAACTCCTCTGTTAACCTGAGAGATTTCTATCGTCTTACTTCTAACAATAAGCCCTCAGGCTAAATAGAGGCTCTTCATCGGATCTGTCTTTACTAGTTGATAGTTCGGATCTAGGGCGTCTAAGAAAGACTGGTCAAGACTCCTTGGATCTCACTTCTTGTTTATCAGCTGGTATAAAGGACTCAAGCTCGATACAAGGAAATGTAGCTTTGGATATGGTACTAGATTCATTGTTATCTCGTTCATGTCAACATTGAGAGACCCTTCAAACCTCATGGAACTGGTCAGATTGTTAATAACATGAGCAACGATGGTATTTTCTCTTTCAAAATGATGCCCCATTCCTTTAGAATCAGTGATTGTTGCACCACCTTTAGAATCAGCCATAGCCATATCCTTAGCTATCTTCTTATTTAATGAAGTCCCATAAGGATTCTTCTTATATTTATCAAGATCGTCAATTCTTTTTACAATGTCGAATAAACTCTGATTTTCTATTGGAAGCACGCAATCAGAATATTCGATCAGGCAGTTCAGGGCAAGCATGCTATTATAAGGAGATACAGCAACATCGTCATTTTCGGGTGATGGGAACACACAAGTAGAGAATTTGAAATTATTAACGTATTCATTCCCCACAGATTTGAGCAAATAAGTTCCAAGGCCTGATCCTGTTCCTCCTCCCAAAGAATGAAGGAATACAAAGCCTTGTAAACTATCGCATTTCTCAGTAGCTCACCGAACTTTATCCATAATTTCCTCTTCGTACATGGGTCCGTATTCAAAATGGCCTTGGGCCCAGTTGTTGCCAGCCCCGGATTGGTCGCTGACGACCTGTCTGGCTTCAAAAATATCGCTAAGCTCTCCATTAAGGATCTTATTATTGATAACTCCACATTCCATATCTACTACGATTGCTCTAGCTTTGAGGTCATTGATTTCACTGCCGAGGGGGTACTCCTCGAAGATCTCCCCGTCCATCTCTCCGTTCCTGAAGAAAGAAGAGAGTGCATCATCATACAAAAGTTGGTTACGATGTTCTCTGAGAGCTTGTTCCCAGAACTTTAGGCCAATCTGGTTACCACATTGGCCTACTTGGATTGTGATTATCTCTCGCGGCATATTTTCTTTATTTTTTGTGCAATTTTATATATACGGGCTGGGGTTTTGGGGTTTTGGGGTTTTGGGGTTTTGGGG